TAGTTTGATCTTGGGTTTGGTCCCTGGTATCGCCCTGGTTTAGTCCTGTTTTAGTCCTGGTTTAGTCCTGGTTTAGTCCTGTTTTAGTCCTGTTTTAGTCCTGTTTTAGTCCTGGTTTAGTCCTGGTTTAGTCCTGGTTTAGGTCTTGGTTTAGGTCTTGGTTTAGTCTTGGTTTGGTCTTGGTCTAGTCCTGGTGTGGTCCTTGTTTAGTCCTGTTTTAGTCCTGGTTTAGTCCTGGTTTAGTCCTGGTTTAGGTCTTGGTTTTGGTCTTGGTCTAGTCCTGGTGTTGGTCCTTGTTTGGTCCTGGTTTAGTACTTGTTTAGTCCTGATTTAGTCCTGGTTTATCTCTGTTATAGTCAATGTTCAGTCCCTCTTTTAGTCCCTGGTTTCGTCCTTGGTCTAGTCCTGGTTTAGGTCCTGGTCTAGTCCTGCTTTGGTCTTGGTTTAGTCCTGGTTTAGTCCTGCTTTAGTCCTGGTTTAGTCCTGGTTTAGTCCTTCTTTACTCCTCACAATCAGAATATTTATTTTTCTCTATATTTTTGAGCTTTAAAGCCACTTGTAATTAAATAAACGTAAAGTAAACCTGCTTAAAGTCACACTGTGGAACATTCCAGACAGAGTAATGACGTATCCATAGCAACAAGCAGGCGACACGGTGTATTTTGCAGTATTCACGTTGTTGTTGTTGTTTTTTTCCCCCCGTAACAAAGCCGTGTTCGTATCGTCTCCTTCTCATTTATCAACAGTCGGTGTAAAATTATCATCACAGTAGATTTTCCGCGGGTCGAATTCGTCACCGTCCGATTATTTTTGACAATTTTCACACCGTAGAAAAGAAAAAAGACGACGAGTGTTTTTAATAGTTCGACCTGTAACGGCGCAGATCCATCAAAACTCGCTCCAGTCATCTGCCGCGTCCACGGATTAGCATCACAATCACGAGGAGGGAGGGAGGGCATCTGACACACACGAGGAGGGAGGGCATCTGACACACACGAGGAGGGAGGGCATCTGACACACACGAGGAGGGAGGGCATCTGACACACACGGGAGGGAGGGAGGCATCTGACACACAGGAGGGAGGAGGGCATCTGACACACACGAGGAGGGGGAGGGCATCTGACACACACGGGGAGGGAGGGAGGGCATCTGGACACACACGAGGGAGGGAGCGGCATCTGACACACACGAGGAGGGAGGGCATCTGACACACACGGGGAGGGAGGGAGGGCATCTGACACACAACGAGGAGGGAGGGAGGGCATCTGACACACACGAGGAGGGAGGGCATCTGACACACACGAGGAGGGAGGGCATCTGACACACACGAGGAGGGAGGGAGGGCATCTGACACACACGAGGAGGGAGGGCATCTGACACACACGGGAGGGAGGCATCTGACACACACGAGGAGGGAGGGCATCTGACACACGAGGAGGGAGGGCATCTGACACACACGGGGAGGGAGGGGGGCATCTGACACACACGGGAGGGAGGGAGGGCATCTGACACACACGGGGAGGGAGGGAGGGCATCTGACACACACGAGGAGGGAGGGGGCATCTGACACACACGAGGGAGGGAGGGCATCTGACACACACGGGGAGGAGGGGAGGGCATCTGACACACACGGGGAGGGAGGGGAGGGCATCTGACACACACGAGGAGGGAGGGCATCTGACACACACGGGAGGGAGGGAGGGCATCTGACACACACGGGGAGGGAGGGAGGGCATCTGACACACACGAGGAGGGAGGGAGGGCATCTGACACACACGAGGGAGGGAGGGCATCTGACACCACACGAGGAGGGGGAGGGGGAGGGCATCTGACACACACGAGGAGGGAGGGAGGGCATCTGACACACACGAGGAGGGAGGGCATCTGACACACACGGGAGGGAGGAGGCATCTGACACACACGGGAGGGGCATCTGACACACACGAGGAGGAGGGCATCTGACACACACGGGAGGAGGGAGGGCATCTGACACACACGGGAGGAGGGAGGGCATCTGACACACACGGGGAGGAGGGAGGGCATCTGACACACACGGGAGGGAGGGCATCTGACACACACGGGAGGGAGGCAGGAGGGAGGGCATCTGACACACACGGGGAGGGAGGGCATCTGACACACACGAGGAGGGAGGGCATCTGACACACACGAGGAGGGAGGGAGGCATCTGACACACACGACGGGGGAGGGAGGGCATCTGACACACACGGGAGGGAGGGAGGGCAGACACACGAGGGAGGGAGGGCATCTGACACACACGAGGAGGGAGGGCATCTGACACACACGAGGAGGGAGGGAGGGCATCTGACACACGAGGAGGGAGGGCATCTGACACACACGAGGAGGGAGGGAGGGCATCTGACACACACGAGGAGGGAGGGAGGGCATCTGACACACACACGGGAGGGAGGGAGGGCATCTGACACACGAGGAGGGAGGGAGGGCATCTGACACACACGAGGAGGGAGGGAGGGCATCTGACACACACGAGGAGGGAGGGAGGGAGGGCATCTGACACACACGGGGAGGGAGGGAGGGCATCTGACACACACGGGAGGGGAGGGAGGGCATCTGACACACACGGGGAGGGAGGGAGGGCATCTGACACACGAGGGAGGGAGGGCATCTGACACACACGAGAGGAGGAGGGCATCTGACACACACGAGGAGGGAGGCATCTGACACACACGAGGAGGAGGGAGGGCATCTGACACACACGAGGAGGGAGGAGGGGCATCTGACACACACGAGGAGGGAGGAGGGCATCTGACACACACGAGGGAGGGAGGGAGGGCATCTGACACACACGAGGAGGGAGGGAGGGCATCTGACACACGAGGAGTTTTAGTTTTTAAAATGATGTGGGTATTTTACTTCTGTGAGTATTAACCACTGGTGGATGAATTTTGTACTCAGTTTTGTTACTTAAGTAAAAGTACTCAAGTAAAAGTGTCATGAATAAACTCTAAATTAAACTTAAGCGTTTGGACTCGGTCTTGAAGGTGCTTGGACTCGGTCTTGTTTCAGTCTTGAAGGTGCTTGGACTCGGTCTTGTCTCGGTCTTGAAGGTGCTTGGACTCGGTCTTGTCGGTCTTGAAGGCCTTGGATTTGGTCTTTGTCTCGGTCTTGAAGGGCTTTGGACTCGGTCTTGTCTCGGTCTTGAAGCGGCTTGGACTCGGTCTTGAAGGCGTTTGGTTTCGGTCTTGGACTCATTCTTGTCTCGGTCTCGGCCTTTAAAAGTCTTGGTCTTGTCCTGGTCTCTGGACCCTGTGGTCTTGTCCTGGTCTCTGGACCCTGTGGTCTTGTCCTGGTCTCTGGACCCTGTGGTCTTGGACTGTGGTCTCTGGACCCTGTGGTCTTGTCCTGGTCTCTGGACCCTGTGGTCTTGGACCCTGTGGTCTTGTCCTGGTCTCTGGACCCTGTGGTCTTGTCCTGGTCTCTGGGACCCTGTGGTCTTGTCCTGGTCTTGGACCCTGTGGTCTTGTCCTGGTCTCTGGACCCTGTGGTCTTGGACCCTGGTCTCTCTGGACCCTGTGGTCTTGTCCTGGTCTTGGACCCTGTGGTCTTGGACCCTGTGGTCTTGTCCTGGTCTCTGGACCCTGTGGTCTTGTCCTGGACCCTGTGGTCTTGTCCTGGTCTCTGGACCCTGTGGTCTTGGACCCTGTGGTCTTGTCCTGGTCTTCCCCTCGATGTCGTGATTTTGATAAAGAATTCTGCTTATTTTAAGTGATTCGGTTAATTTCTTAATTTCTCAAGCTCCTTTTCCCAGGAGAGATCACTAGATTACCCAAACCTCTTCAGACACGTTTTTGAAGAAAGGACGACATTATAACATGGGACAAAGCTAAACATTCTGCATAACACTCCCTTTTTTAACTAAGAATTAATGCATTTTTGATGTGATAATTGCGATAATGTCACGTTTAGAGCAGAAAGTGAACTGAAAACACTCAAAACACACACAGCGAGAGAAAATACAAAATAAAACGTGGTTAAGGACAAGAAAATTAACATCACGATGGATAATCCAGGTTTTAAATCAGCTGCGTCTCTTTTGTTCTTATCCCCTCATGTTTCAGCCTTTGTTTGACGTCTCCGCGTTTCCTTTTTCCAATCTTTTCACGGGACCATAAACGTCTCGCTGGGTTGTAGAGAAAACCCATAAAACGGCCGTGAGCCGTATATCCTCCTCGGCCGCACATGCACCTGTAAAAACACGGCTCCTTTACGGCCGCTGGTTCAATAAAGGTTAGTGCTTTCAATCCAAGAGGAGCCAGAGTTCAGCCCATTAAAGCCTCCGCCTTTCTTCTCCCCGACATGTTTCTGTAAAAGACCATTTAACTCAATAACATTCTTAAAAGGTCAATTACAATAGGCCGAGCCGCGGGCTAATCTCTCTAAATGTTTATGAACGATTCCGCCGGACAAAGAGATGACATTTTTGTATTTACGCGGGTTTAAAACGGATTAAAGAGCCGGTTTACTCATCTCTCTTCTAATTTAGTTTCCTCGTCGTAAACGTTAGAAGCTGGAGTTGTGTTTTTGTGTTTCATGTTTACGAAAAAAAGAAGAAAAAAACAACAACAACTCTGCAGATTTAGGCTGGGTTTTTTCGATCCACTTTGTGATGTCATGTGGTGATTCAAGAAAGGGAAGTAAAACCCGACACGCCTTCGCTAGAATCATTTGGATCATTTCAGTCCAGGAATTGCCGATCTCAACTGAACTAAAAGTAAAAGGAGCTGTTCACTTGAAAAAAAACTACCACTTCATGACATCACAAGGTGGAACAGAGCGTTTTGAGACTAAAAATAATAATGGGTTAACTGAAACTGTTCCCTGTCGAGCCAGAACCACACACTCTGACAGAGCGTTTCAGAGCGACAGAACCGCGCCTCATCTCCAACCAACTGACGCCAAAAATCAGAGCGTTTGGGAACCAAAAAAAACTTAATTTTTCTAAAAGAACCGTGATGTTACAGTCGACTTCAGCAGGTTCCTCCGAGTCACACGAGAAAATAAACAAAGAAAACGTTTGTGGAACAAGGAGGAGAAATCAAGTGACAAGAAGATTGTGCAATGGTCAGAGGAGGAGAAATATTGTTCAATAGGATTGAGCGTCGCTGTAGAGGTGAGATCGGGCCTAAAAAATCCAGCCCGACCAATTAACTTGATTTGCAGGCCCGAGCCCGAAGCAAACCCGAAATGTCATATTTTATTTGTGACTCGGGAGGAGGAGCAGTGCTCAGCGTCGAGGTGCCAGTCTTTTTGCTCTCGTATGAAAGCAAAGCCACATTGACGACATTCAGCGAAGCCAACGCAAGTTTCTGTAGCATTTTCATCAATCAATTTGAAGCTTTTCCACACCTCACTCTTACCGGTGCGTGTTTGTCTTTTCAGTTCTCCTGCCTTTAGTTTAACTTCTTGCTCCTCCATATTGGGGACACCAGGTCAAAATAGATGCAGACTTGCGGAGGGGAAGATTATTAAATGAAGAGGGGGCGTTCACGTGCACAGAGCTCTGGCTCTGCGGATCCTGTTTAGTAGTTAAATAGCAATTACATTACATTACTTCTCTGTTTTATCCATATTATTTATTTTATAACAAGTATTCCTTAGTTTAGTATCCACACATCGTTTTAGCAAACATTTTATAAACATATATTTATTTGAAAAAAAGCCCAGCCCGACCCGACCCGAAGTAATGATTGACATTCGGGTCGGGTCGGGCTTGGGCTCGGTCTTAAGATCTTACCTCTACGTCGCTGCTGCGTTCTCCACTGCAGATGTTTCTCCACTGCAGATGTTTCTCCACTGCTCTCCACTGCAGATGTTTCTCCACTGCAGATGTTTCTCCACTGCAGATGTTTCTCCACTGCAGATGTTTCTCCACAGCAGATGTTTCTCCACTGCAGATGTTTCTCCACTGCAGATGTTTCTCCACAGTAGATGTTTCTCCACTGCAGATGTTTCTCCACTGCTCCAGTAGATGTTTCTCCACTGCAGATGTTTCTCCTCTGCAGATGTTTCTCCACTGCAGATGTTGTAGCAGAACTTGATGCAGATAAATAATGTTTTTGTATGAGTACAAATGCTCGTTAGTGTTGATGATGTGATCCATGAGTTTTTCTCGCTGTGACGTCCACTTTCGTATGGTCTTGTTTTTATTTGACGGTAAATCCACTCTGTCGATGACGCATCATGAGTTAAATGGTTTAAATGCGGGTCTTTCAGCGGTGGAACTGGTACGGGACCGTTCTGGCCGTCCTGAAAACAGCTGGAGTGGATTCTGGCTCTGTGTTCCAGAGGGAGTGATTGACAGGTGGATTAACCAATCAGAGAGAAGTATTCTCCGTTTGCATCAAAACAAACATGGCTGCTTATACATAAAAAAGGAGAAAAAAACTACAAACAGCTACAAGGACTGAAAGATGGTGTGGATTTTTACAGAGTGAACAATCAAAGTACCAAACTATGACTTATTTGAGGTAAAATTTAGGTAAATTTCAGGTATTTTGTTCTGAATCTTAACAGAATTTTGGAGAGGAGATATCTGACGTCTTTTGGAACAGAATGTAGAAGGGATTGGCAGAAAAACAAACAAAAAAAACCTACACAAGTACAACTACAAGGACTAAGAAACAGTGCAGATTTTTACACAATCAACAATCGAAGCACCAAACTATGACAAAATTCAGGCAAATTTTAGGTAAATTTCAGGTAAAGTGAAGATTTTTTGTGTATTTTGTTCTGAATCTTTCCAGAATTTTGGAGAGGAGACCGTCTTTTGCAACAGAATTTATAAAGGACTGAGAAAGAGAGCGGATTTTTACAGAATGAACAATCGAAGCACCAAACTATGACTTATTTCAGGTCAATTTCTGATAAATTTCAGATAATTTTCAGGTATTTTGTTCTGAATCTTACGAGAATTTTAGAGATGAGATGTCTTTCGCAAAAGAATGTAGAAAGGACTGGCCAAAGAAAAAAAAAAGTATATACAGACAAATACAAAGACTGAAAAACAACGTGTTTTTCACAGAAAGCACCAAACTATGACATATTTCAGGCAAATTTCAGGTAAATTTCAGGTAAATTTAAGATTTTTTATGTATTTTGTTCTGAATCTCACCAGTATTTTAGGGAAGAGATATTTTTTTTAGATTTGTAGAAAGGACAGAGAAAGAGAGCGGATTTTTACAGAATGAACAATCGAAGCACCAAACTATGACTGATTTTAGGTCAAATTCAGGTAAATTTCAGGTCAATTTTAGGTCAGTTTCAGATAAATTTCAGGTAAATTTAAGATTTTTTGTGCATTTTGTTCTGAATCTTAGGAGAATTTTGAAGAGGAGACGTCTTTCGCAACAGAACGTAGAATCGACCGGCTGCTCCGGCCACAAAAACAGTCCAACTTTGTAAACACTTTTTAGTTACCGCCTCAACCAATCAACTCTCCACTTCAATTTCCAAACCGTCCAATCACAGCTCACCTCTTTGTCACCCCCTGAGCGCGTTTAGCTTCATCAGAATTATCGTTTGGAGCTGTGTGGTGTTATTTTCCGTTCAGACGCGTGAGTGAAATGATCCGTGTGGACAGTCGGTGCTGAAACCTGCCTCCAGATGAATCGGTTTCGTGAACGTGGAGGATTTAAAGGGCGTTTTGTGATTGGTGTTTACGGCCGTTAAATTAAACCTGAGAAGTGAACGGACGCAAAACGAACAGCCGCAAATTCTACAGATTTATTTAAAAAAATTCTGAGACTGAGACTTTAAATGAACTGTACTTTCTACGAGGTGAAAAAGTGAAGTGAAATACTCTTAAAAACACTTTGTACCGTGGAAAGATTCACACGTTTTTAAGATTTTTGCTCATTTTAATTTTATTTTGGAAGAAATTTAACTTGGATTTGGATTATTTTAAGCCAGATGCCCTCCCGAGTCCAACGCCATCGAGTTGTTTATAAATAATTAGACCAAAAATATATGAAATGTTTAAAATGTGCAAAAAATCTACTATTAACATTACTGTTATAAATGCTACTACTATTATTACTACAGCACTACTACTACTACTACTACTACTACTACTGCGACTACTGCGACTACTACTACTACTACTACTACTACTACTACTACTACTACTACTACTACTACTACTACTACTAATAATACTACTACTACTACTTACTACTACTACTACTACTACTACTACTACTACTGCTACTACTACTACTACTACTACTACTACTACTACTACTACTACTACTACTACTACTACTACTACTACTACTAACTGCTACTACTACTACTACTACTACTACTACTACTGCTACTGCTACTACTACTACTACTACTACTACTACTACTACTACTACTACTACTACTACTACTACTACTACTACTACTACTACTACTACTACTACTACTACTACTACTACTACTACTACTACTACTACTACTACTACTACTACTACTACTACTACTACTACTACTACTACTACTGCGACTACTACTACTACTACTACTACTGCGACTACTACTGCGACTACTACTACTACTACTACTACTACTACTACTGCGACTACTACTACTGCGACTACTACTACTGCGACTACTGCGACTACTACTACTGCGACTACTACTAGCGACTACTGCGACTACTGCGACTACTACTACGCGACTACTACTACTACTACTACTACTACTACTACTACTACTGCGACTACTGCGACTACTGCGACTACTGCGACTACTACTACTACTGCGACTACTGCGACTACTACTACTACTGCTACTGCGACGACTACTGCGACTACTGCGACTACTGTGACTACTGCGACTACTACTACTAACTACTACTACTACTGCGACTACTGCGACTGCGACTACTGCGACTACTGCGACTACTGCGACTACTACTACTACTGCGACGACTACTGCGACTACTACTACTGCGACTACTGCGACTACTACTGCGACTACTACAACTACTGCGACTACTGACTACTGCGACTACTACTGCGACTACTACTACAACTACTGCGACTACTACTGCGACAACTGTGACTACTACTACTACTACTAACTACTGCGACTACTACTACTGCGACTACTACTACTACTACTACTGTGACTACTACTACTACTACTGCGACTACTACAACTACTGCGATGACTACTGCGACTACTACAACTACTGCGATGACTACTGCGACTACTACTACCACTACTGTGACTACTACTGCGACTACTACAACTACTGCGACGACAACTGTGACTACTACTGTGACGACTACTGCGACTACTACAACTACTGCGACGACTACTGCGACTACTACAACTACTGCGACGACTACTGCGACTACTACTACAACTACTGCGACTACTACTGCTGCGGCTACTGCGACTACTGTGACTACTACTGCTACTACTACTGCTACTACTACTGCGAGTACAGCGACGACTACTGCAACTAAAACTACGAATACTGCGACGACTACTGCGATTACTACTGCAACTACTACTGCGACTTCTACTACTACTACTACAACTGCGACTACTGCAACTACTACTGCGATGACTACTGCGACCACCACTACTACTACTACTTTTATTACTGCGACTACTACTACTGCTACTTTGCTACTACATATCTACTACTACTACTACTACTACTAATACTACTACTACTACTACTACTACTACTGTAACTAATTCTATAACTGGTACTGCTGCTACTACTACTGTACTACTACTATTACTACTACATGTACTATAGTACTACTGCAGCTGCTACTACAACAACCATTATCATTACTGCTTCTACTAACACTTCTACTTCTACTGATACTAATACTACTACTACTGTGTCCTTTGTTGTTTCCTTGTTTGTGTCCTACATCCTTCCCTCGCCTCCCGTTTCCTACCTCCTCGACTCCTTTTGAGCGTGTTTTATGGGACTTCCCTGTAACCATGGTAACCTCTGATCCCCCCCCCCCCCCCCCCGGGTGCTGGAGTTTTCTCTGTATGTGTCTGTATGTGGTGAGAGTTGATAGGTGAGTGCTGATGCATGCTGGGAGAGCGCGGGGGGGTATGGAGGGTACCACGAGGGTACGGGGGGCGGGGGGGGCACGGGGGTGGAGGGGGGGGGGGGGGTGGTACATGCTGTGATCCTGACAATACCAGTGGAGATGAATATATATGTAGAGGAGCAGCGGTGTGGGTTGAAGACTATGTACGTGTACTGTGCTGTAGATGCGTTTTAAAGCTGCACTGTGGAACTTTTCTGGTCGCTTATTTCCATGGAGACGTCATTGCTTTGCCTGGACGGTTTCACAGTGTGACATTAAATTCATCTATATCGTATTTATTGAATTACAGGTGTTTTTTTTGCTGCTCAAAAATACAACAAAAGCACATGTTCCTACAGTGAGTGAGCTCGCCTCTCCACAGATCTGACCTGTAACTTGGCTCCAGATCTAAACCAGGACTAAAACAGGATTTAACAGGACTAAACCAGGACTAAAACAGGACTAAACCGGACTAAACCAGGACTGAACCAGGACTAAAACAGGACTAAACCAGGTCTAAACCAGGACTGAACCAGGACTAAACCAGGACTAAACCAGGACTAAACCAGGACTAAACAGGTCTAAACCCAGGACTAAACCAGGACTAAACCAGGACTAAACCAGGACTGAACCAGGACTAAAACAGGACTAAACCAGGACTAAACCAGGACTAAACCAGGACTGAAACCAGGACTAAACCAGGACTAACCAGGACTAAACCAGGACTAAAGGACTAAACCAGGACTAAACCAGACTAAACCAGGACTAAACCAGGACTAAACCAGGTCTAAACCAGGACTGAACCAGGACTAAAACAGGACTAAACCAGGTCTAAACCAGGACTAAACCAGGACTAAAACCAGGACTGGAACCAGGGACTGGACTAAACCAGGTCTAAACCAGGACTGAAAACCAGGACTGAAACCAGGACTAAAACCAGGACCCAACCAGGACTAAACCAGGACTAAAGTCTAAACCAGGACTAAACCAGGACTAAACCAGGACTAAACCAGGACTTGAACCAGGACTGAACCAGGACTAAACCAGGACTAAAGGACCAGGACTAAACCAGGACTAAACCAGGACTAAACCAGGACTAAACCAGGACTAAACCAGGGACTGAACCAGGACTGACTGACTAAACCAGGACTGAACCAGGACTGAACCAGGACTGGACTAACCAGGTCTAAACCAGGTCTAAACCAGGTCTAAACCAGGAATAAAACAGGATTAAACCTTGAT